TCAATTATTTCTGCTCTGATTTTTATTATTTCCTTCCTTCTACTGACTCTGGGCTTTGCTCTTTTTTTAGTTCTTTTAGGTGTATTGTTAGATTGTTTGTTTAATGTTTCTCTTGTTTTTTCAGGTAGGCCTGTATTACTATAAACTTCCCTCTTTATACCACTTTTGATGAATTCCATAAGATTTGGTATGTTGTGTTTTCATTTTCATTTGTCTCCAGGTATATTTTTATTTCTCATTTGATTTATTCATTGATCCAATAGTTGTTCAGTATCATGCTGTTTACTTTCCATATGTTTCTTGACTTTTCCAGCTGTCTTTTTGTAGTTGATTTCTATTTTAATACCATTGTGGTTGGAAAAGATGCTTGATGTGATTTTAATCTTAAATTTACGGTGTTTTTTTTTTTGTTTCCCAACATATGGTCTATCTTTGAGAATGTTCTATGTGCACTTGAGAGGAATGTGTATTCTTCTGCTTTTGGATGGAATGTTCTATATATATCTGATAAGTTCATCCAATCTAGTGTTTCATTTAAGACCAATGTTTCCCCGTTGACTGTCTTTCTGGATGAGTTATTTATTGATGGAAGTGGAGTGTTAAAGTCTCCTACTATTATGGTATTGTGGTCAATTTCTCCCTTTAGGAATCTTAATAGTTGCTTTATAAACTTTATAAACTCCTATATAAGATGCATATATATTAATAACTGTTACGTCTTCTTGGAAGAATGTCCCTTTTATCAGCATATAAGGTCCATCTCACTCTCTTGTTATCTGTTTTAGGTGAAGTCTGTTTTGTCTCATATAAGTATGGCTACACTTGCTTTCTTTTTGTTGCCATTTGCTTGGAGCATCATCTTCCATTCCTTCACTCTGAGCCTATGTTTCTTTTTAGAGATGAAATTGGTCTCTGCGAAGCAGCTTATCATTGGTTCTTGTTTTTTAATCCATCCAGACACTCTGTGTCTTTTGCTTGGTGAATTCAATCCATTTATGTTTAGAGTGATTATCAACATATGAGGACTTAATAGTGTTATTTTGTCTTTTGTTTTCTTGTTGCTCTATATTTCCGTTGTTACTTTTTGCTTGTATTTCTGTCTGCCGTTTCAGTTTGGCTGTTTTCTGTGATGTTTTTCTCAGTTTCCTCTCTCGTTATGATCTGACTCTGCTCTGATTTTTTGTTTTTGGTTACCATGAAGTTTGTACAAAATATCTCATAGATAAGATAGTCCTTTTTCTGCTGATAGTATCTTATCTCCATTAGCCTAGTCAGGTTCCCTCCTTTTCCTCTTTCCCGTCAATGTTTTTGTTGTCATGAATTATCCTTTTGGTGTTGTCAGGTTGTTACAAAATTGAAGTGGTTGTAGTTACTTTCAATGCTTTCCTTCCTTTATTCTTCACATTATAATTGTTTACCAACATATTCTGATATAGAGTTGCAATTTTTTTTATTCTGTCTATTTATCACCTTGCTCAAATCTTTGTAAGCATAGTCCTTTTTGTTTCAAGTAGGAGCACTTCTTTTAACATTTCTTGTAAGGTACATGTAGTGGTGATGAATTCCTTCACCTTTGGTTTGTCTAGGAAAGATATTATTTCTCCTTTATACTAAAGGATAATTTTCTGGATAAACTGTTCTTGGATGATACCTAATGCCTTTCAATATTTTGACTATATCATTCCACTCTCTTCTAGCCTATAGAATTTCTGCTGATAGCCTGGTGGGGGTTCCATTCTAAGTTATTTTCTTCTCTCTGGCCACCCTTAATTTTCTTTCTTTCTCATTGACTTTTGACAGCTTTAATATAATATGCCTTGCAGAAGGTCTTTTTGTGTTTGGACTATTAGGAGTTCTATTAGCATCATGTACATTTATGCACAGTTCCTTCCCCAGGTTTGGGAAATTCTCAGCTATTATTTCTTTGAATAAGCTCTCTCATCCTTTCCCCTTCTCTTCTCCTTCTTGGATACCCATTATCTTTATGCTGCTTTCCATAATTGAGTCAAATATTTCTTGTAGAATTTCTTCATTTTCAAAATATCTTATGGACTGGCCTGGTGGCACAGTGGTTAAGTTCGCACATTCCACTTTGGCAGCCCAGGGTTCACTGGTTTGGATCCCAGGGGTGGACATGATACCACATGTCAAGCCATGCTGTGGCAGGCATCCCACATATAAAGTAGAGGAAGCTGGGCTTGGATGTTAGCTCAGGGACAGTCTTCCTCAGCAAAAAGAGGAGGATTGGCAGAAGATGTTAGCTCAGGGCTAATCTTTCTCAAAAAATAAAATAAAATAAAATATCTTAGTTCACTCTCCTCTTCCACCTGAATCATTTCTTTGTTTCTATCTTCGAGTTCATTAATTCTCTCTTCCATTCAGTCTGCTCTATTTCCAATGATTTCTACTTTATTTTTCATCTAATTAATTGGGTTCTACATTGCTAGAATTTCTACTGTTCTTTTTTCTGAGAGTTTCAATCACTTTGGTGACGTTCTCCTTTGGTTCATTAATTTTGTTCATGATCTCATTGAACAGCCTTTCTGAGTATTCTTGTAACTCTTCGAGTTTCTTCATGATAACTGTTTTGAAATCTCTGTCAGTTAAATTGTAATCTTCTTTGACTTCAAGTTTGGTTTCTGGAGAGTTGTTATTTTCTGTCTGTTCTATTGTGTTACTGCAGTTCTTCCTGCTAGTTGATGAGTTAATCCTCTGCTTGCACGTTTGTGGTATTAAACACCTTTATTATTTGGTGAAGGCTTTGGTTACTTTGATTCTGAGCTGTATCTGCTTGTATTTGAGATTCTGCACTTTCACCCTCCACTGCCTTTGTAAGAGGCATGGTCAGTGCCCTCCTTGTGCTGCTATGCCTCCAAGGTTTGTGGTGCCTTGCTGCTTACAAAGTTGCTGCACTCTCACATGTCGGCACTGGGGTCACCATGCTGTGAAAACTTCTGCTGCTTCTGGGGTTGCCTGAGTCTCATGTTTCCCCACTGGCTTTTCATGGTTCTCCTCAGACTTAGGTGCTGCTGCCCTGTGCACCACCTGTGCTGCTGCTCTCAAGTTAATTGGGAATGCTAGCAGACATGCAGCCTGTGGTTCTGGGTTCACAAGTATCACTGTTTCTTCCAGGGATCTGTGGTCTTTTATGTTGCCCCTACTGCTAGTAAAGCCAATGTTGGGGCTGATGCTACTGGGGGCTAGGTCTCGAGTTCTCCTGTGGCTCCTTAAGTCTCCAGTCATAGATGCTACCTGCCACTGCTTGTGGAGGGGCAGGGTCTAACCCACAAGTGACATTGTTGCTCCTACCACCTTTGGTTGCTGGCACTACTGGTATCCATTTTGAAACCTTGAGTCAAGGCACCATCGACCGTGATGATGACATCTGTGTTTTGTATGCAAACCTTGATGCTGGAAAACTGAGATCAGTGTTGTTGCTGCCCAGGGAAGGTAAGAGGACTGTTCACCAGAATGGCTGAGTTTCTTGGAGTCTCAGTTCATGTGAGCCACCCCCCACAGCCTCTAGGGAGAGAGTGCAGAGGCTAAGCCGTGATTGTCACTGTGGCTCCTGCAGCTTCTGTTCACTAGCATGTGCCAGTCTACGTTTTCAAATCTCAGATCACTGCACCACAACCCCTGCAAGGATATCTGAGTTTTGGTTGATGTCCCCACTTTTCTAAAGATAGGAGCTACCATCACTCGGTTGGCAGGCACTATGGCACATGTGTCACTGCAAGTGCAGCCTCTGATACTGATGCAACCAGTGTACTCCTTTATATCTCCAGTCAGAGCACTGCTTTCACTGCCAGGAGCATCCATGTTTTGCATCATCACTGATTGTGAAGGTATAAGGGGCTACTCTCCTGGGTCTACTCCTTCCCAGAGGGTCTGGTCCAACCACTTTCAGATCAATAGATTTATAGAACTCCCAGGCATTCTGGTATGTTAAGTAGGGAGTCTTTGTTAGTGAATGGAAGTCTCACTGGTTGCAATGGAGAGAGGAGAGAAAAAAGGAACAACTCAATCTGCCAAGATACTAACATCAGCTCATGAAAGTTATTATTTGAGAAGAACTGACTTTTTCCAGCTTTATTAAGATATGATTGAAATATAACATTGTCAAATGTTCCTGTAATATTTGAATGTTTAGAATGAGGACTTCATAGTTTTTATCAAAAATAATATATTTAAAGAATTAATCTCTGTAACATAGGGTTCCTGGTAATGTTACTATTTTGTGCGGCATCTTGAAAACTGAAACTTTATAATTTAAGTGTCCGGATCATGTTAACTAAACAGAAATGCTCAAACAAATATTAAGCACACTTTTCTCTGAGGACTTAACAATGTCTCATCTGAATTCTGTGGGTATCAAAGAGCACTGATTAAGTCAGTTGCTCACTTTTGTCCTATCTCCACTATCATGACCACCACCTCTGCACCTATGAGTAGAAGAGGATCTCAATAATTGGAAGCCCTTGTATGAAACCATCCTGATTCAAGGTGGAATTCAGTAGCCTCTTCTACTGAAAGAAGAAGAAAAAAGAAACTAAGGATTTAGTAAAGAAAGAAGTGAAGAAAAATATTTAGAAAGAGAATTGAGAAGACTTCTTACAGATTGGGTTACATAGAAGTTCCTAAGGACATGTGGGAATACTTTAGTTTCTCATTCACGAAGAAGCTTGGAATTTTTAACTTTCCCCTTGTTGGATATTACTCCCTGTTTCTCTATTAATCTGTGCTCCAGATAATGGTATTTCATTCAATGAAAGACCACATATACAAAGGTGGTTCCATAAGATTAGTATTATATAGCCTATATGTGTAGTGCCTAGGTCATCTAGGTTTGTGTAAGTACACTCTATGATACTCTCAAAAACTCAAAGTCACCCAAAGACACATTCCTCAGACCCCCATTCTTAAAGATTGGATGGCTGTATTTCTTAAAGTAAATATTCTTTAATATCTTGACAAATAGCAGTGGACATTTTTGTTACAGGTTGGAGGATAGTGAAGAAATTGTCTTAATCAAATTCCCCTTCATATGTCTCTGACTGCTTCTCCAAATCCTGCCCAAGAAGTAGGAGACATGGAAATAAAGAACTACAGTGGCAGCACATCAGGCTTTACCCTCCTGGGCATCTCTTCCAACCCTCACCTACAGAAGCCACTCTTTGCCATATTCTTCATCATGTACCTGGTCACTGTGGTGGGGAATGTACTAATAATCTGGACCATCCACTCAGACTCACGCCTCCATACACCTATGTACTTTTTTCTCACCAATCTGTCTTTCATGGATATCTGCTTCACAACAGACATTGTGCCTAAAATGCTGGTGAATTTACTATCAGAGACAAAGTCTATCTCCTACATAGGCTGCCTCATCCAGATGTACTTCTTCATGGCCTTTGGGAACACTGACAGCTACCTGCTGGCATCTATGGCCATAGACAGGCTGGTAGCTATCTGCCACCCCTTCCACTATGATGTGGTAATGAACCCACGTCGTTGCCTCCTCATGTTGCTGGGTTCTTGCATCATCTCCCACCTGCACTCCATGCTCCATGTGCTACTCATGTCCCGCCTGTCTTTCTGTGCCTCCCATGTCATTAAGCACTTTTTTTGTGATACTCATCCCGTGTTAAAGCTATCCTGCTCTGACACTTCCTACAACCAGATTATGGTCATAACTGAGACCCCAGTTGTCATTGCAACCCCCTTCCTGTGCATCCTCTTCTCCTACCTGCGTATCATCATTACTGTGCTCAGAATACCCTCTGCAGCCGGGAAGTGGAAAGCCTTCTCTACCTGTGGCTCCCACCTTACTGTAGTGGTCTTGTTCTATGGTAGTATCTTCTATGTCTATTTTAGACCCCTGTCTATGTACTCAGTGGTGAAAGACCGGGTAGCCACACTCATGTACACAGTAGTGACACCAATGCTGAACCCCTTCATCTACAGCCTCAGGAACAAAGACATGAAGATGGGTATGAGAAAATTAAGGTTCATAATGAACTCATAGAAGGAATAACAACATAGAATACCATAATTGAGAGATGTCTTAAAAGATTAGGTAACTTTGCTTCTTACCTATATTTCACATGGCACCCAAAGAGGTCATGAAATGTCATGTTGAATAGCAAAAAGAGCATTGAGCTTGAAGCTAGCATACTTGGTTTCTATCAATGACTTAACTAAATATATGTTAATTCCCTATGCCTGTAGAGTGAGGAATCCAGAATTCAAGAAAACTGTTTCTGCCACCCATGAGGCAAAATAAAGTTATTTCCAAATAACTCTTCTATAAGCTTGGTCTCAGATGGTACTCAAGGAATTATAAAGTCCTAAGAGTTTTTACAATAAGACATTAGATGGATTTCACAGGGAACAGGGGAAGACTCTTTGAGGAATGACCTAATTTGTCCTTAAGAATGGACTGATTTTGACAGGTGAAAGTTCAGTAAACACGAAAATGGGGAGAGCATTTCAAATAGTGGAAACCAGCCAAGCAGGTAGTGGCAATAAACAGTGGAATGTGTTTGAGAAACAATTCAAAAGCCCTGTGATGCTTGTTAAACTTGAAAGCAGAGAGAATAAGGCTGGAAAGATAGAAGGATCTACAAAACATATTTACATGTCCAACAACACCATGTCATCACAATGTGCATCTTCAGTATTCTCCTCTATTTCCCTTCCCTCTTAATTCTTCATTTCTCCACATGACCACAAAGCCAACTGAAATGCCCTTTATATCCTAGAAAAAGCAATGTGTATCAGTCAGAGCAACCTAAGTTATGCTGTGGAACAATCACCCTCAAAAATCTTTAGAACTTAAAACCAAAAGTTTATTTTTTATTCACACTACATGTCCACCAGAGAAAAGTATAAGGGTGCTGATCTTTTTAAACACTCAGAGACCAAGGCTGAGGGAGCAGTCACCATTGTAAATATTAGTCATCAGTCTGTCAGAAGTTGAGAAAGATACTTGAAGATTTTGCACTGGTAAATACTCTGCTCCAGAAGTGACTCACACCACTTCTGAGCACAACTCACTGTCCATAATTAATCTCATGACCCCACCAAACACAAGACAGCCAAGAAGCACAATCCAATGATGTACCTGTAAAATGGAGAGCCAGAAGTATTTGGTGAAGTGCTTTGATAACTAGCACACACTGTAATAACACATAAATTATAATAAATAATAACACACATAAATAATAACACACATTAGTGTGAATTTTTGGCTTAATTAATCCTTCTCTGGCTATGTCACTGTCAAAAACAATAGTAATAGTTTTTTTTTAACCTTTTTGCTTTACCCTTTAATCCTTTTGCCTCAATTATTTCATCAGGATAACAACCACCAGCTTTTATATATCAGATGCTTGTTGATAGAAAGACCTGAAGTTGACTACAAGTCTTCAGGCCTTAATGATATAACAAGAGGTGTGTAGCAGCCTAACAGAAGACAGGATCATCCTGGGCATGACATTGTCCCTGACATTGCTGTCACTATTATCTTCTAAATATCAGGAAGCAACCAGAAATCCAGGAAACAAATTCCATTTGCAGTGCCTTCACTTTTGTACCAGCATGCCTGGCTTTCACCACTATCACCTGCCAATCACTCAGCTTGGGGATGAAGGCCTAGAAGATCTGGGCCTTTGCTATTTCCTTTATTGAGGTGTCATATGTTTCTCATGTTTAACCAAGCACAGCGTCCTACTTTAGAATGTGAAAAATGCTTGGCATATATTGAATGAATAAACTCTAATGAATTTATACAGAATAACAAAAAACCCTGAGTAGCCAAAACAAATCCTGAGAAAAAAGAACAAAGCTGGAGGTATCACACTCCCTGATTTCAAAATATACTACAAAGCTATAGTAACCAAAAACAGCATGGTACTGGCACAAAAAGAGACACACAGATCGATGGAACAGAATTGAGAGCCCAGAAGTAAACCCACACCTATACAGACAACTAATTTTCAACAAGAGAGCAAAAGCATGCAATGGAGAAAGGAGAGTCTCTTCAATAAATGATGTTTGGAAAACTGGACAGCCACATGCAAAAGAATGAAAGTAGAACATCTTATTCCGTGCACAAAAGTAAACTCAAAATGGATTAAAGACTTGAATGTAAGACCTGAAACCATGAAACTTCTAGAAGAAAACATAGGAAGCATGCTCTTTGTCATCAGTCTTACCAGCATATTTTCAAGTAGCATGTCTAACTGGGCAAAGGAAACCAAAGAAAAAATAAACAAATGGGACTACATCAAAATAAAAAGCTTCTGCAGAGCAAAGGAAATCATCAATATAATGAAAAGACAATCTAACAATTGGGAGAATATATTTGCAAACCATATATCGGATAAGGGGTTAATATCCAATATATACAAAGAACTCATATGTCTCAACAACATAAAAACCAACAGCCTAATTAAAAAAATGGGTGAAAGCTCTAAACAGAGATTTATCCAAAGAAGATATATGGATGGCCAACAGGTACATGAAAACATGTTCAACATCATTGACTGTTAGGTAAATGCAAATCAAAACTAGAATGAGATATCACCTCACTCCGGTCAGAATGGCTATATATAACAAGACAGGAAACAACATGTTGGAAAGTATGTGGGGAGAAGGGAACGCTTGTATACTGCTGGTGGGAGTGTAAATTGGTACAGCCACTATGGAAAACTGTATGGTGTTTCCTCAGAAAATTAAGAATAGACCTACCATATGATCCAGCTATTCCACTGCTGGGTATTTTTCCAAAGAACATGAAAACTCAAATGCATGAAGATACATTCACCCTTATGTTCATCGCAGCATTATTCACAATAGCCAAGACTTGGAAGCAACCTAGATGCCCATCAAGGGACTAATGGATAAAGAAGATGTGGTGTACATACACAATGGAACACTACTCAGCCATAAGAAAGCATGAAATCCTGCCATTTGTGACAACATGGATAGACCTTGAGGGAATTAAGCTAAGTCAAATAAGTCAGAGGGAGAAATTCAAATACCATATGATCTCACTAATAAGCAGAAGATAAAAACAACGACAAACAAACACATAGTAACAGAGATTGGATTCATGGTTACCAGAGGGAAAGGGGGGGAGGGAGGAGGGCGAAAGGGGTAATTAGGCATACATGTGTGGTGATGGATTATAATTAGTCTTTGGGTGGTGAATATGATGTAATCTACACAGAATTCAAAATATATTATGATGTACATCTGAAAGTTATATAATGTTATAATTCACTGTTACTGCTATAAAAACAAAAATTAAAATTAAAAAAATAAAATGTAAAACATATCAAGTAGCATGCATTAAGTACATACAATTTTTATTTGTCAATTATACCTCAATAAACCTGAAAATAATTGTGAAAAGTCATTCTTCTGAGTCAAAGTAAATTAGAATCCCTGAGAAAGAATTAAAAACTTTAGCTAAAAAAATGTCTAACTATTCATTTGACTCTAAATGTGTCTATCGTCTTGCTCAGCAAATGATTTGAAAACAGATGAGTGAAAGGTCAAAGGAAGACTGGAGCACTGGTTCTGCCAAGCTAGGAGGAGAGTGTTTTCAATGGATGAGGAACTCATTCCTCGCCATCACAGGGTAAAAGGAAGACATTAATACTGGAATAATCCCAGACACTTAAGTGCCAGTGCTACCTAAAAATGGATACAGTTGTCTGGACAGAAGTGAGCTTTCCACTACAGGAGGTATGCCGGCAAATGATGGGTGATATGAGAGAATATTAAAGGATGTTACAAGAGTGAGACCAGTGATATTTAAGATCCCTCCAATATGAATGTTTGACTACTCTAGACCAGAAGGAAGATTGAATATGCCAAGATTCACTAAAGGGAAAAAAGAGTCATAATGTATAGTCTGTTCACAGTCTCCTGTTACTAGACATTCTTGAGACTACCTCTTGCATGAATTGCCACCCATTACCTGTCAACTCCAAATACTTTATTTGCCCCGATGGCCTCCCACTATCACACTCAGCAGTGTTCAACCCAAGCACAGATTCTGCTCAAGTGTGTCACCGCTATGTCTAGATCCATATTTCTACTGATCTCTGAGTTTCCCACAAAGGTCTCTGTATAACGTGAATTCAATTTGGCTGAAAGTAACGGAACTCCTTACTACAATGGCTGAAGCAACTGGAAGGAGGTGTTTATATCCCACCATCCAAGAGATCCAAGATGATGATTGCTGGTGTTAGGTCCACGACTCAATGATGTCAGGGATGGCATGTTCCTCAATCTCTTGACTCTTATTTTCATATGATGGCTGCTTCAGCTCTAAATAAAATAGTTAATGTAGTAAAAAATGGGAAAGTAGGGAAGGGATAGCAATGGATGACAAATGTTTCCATCTTCTCATTGACTGAGACTATGTTATATGGTCTCCTTCAGCTGAAATGGTGACTGAAAATCCAATTACAACTTTTTCAGTCTGTATTCTAAAGGAAGGCAAGGAGAAGAGGGATTGGATTGAGTACTGCATGAACAACCGACAGTGTCTGCCTCATCCCACTCTGATGAGCCCTGCCCTCAAAGATTTGGTAATCTATTAGGGAAGATGAAGTGAGAGTGCAAAATCAAGCATGCCCAGTAGAAAGGCAGTGTCCATGTGACTGTAGAAAATCCAGTACTAAATGAATCAAACGAAGTGGAACATGATTCAAACTTAAAGGTGAGGAAATACTGTAAGCTTTCAGAGAAGAGGAAGGCTAGTCTTGGAAGAATTTTTTCAGGCAAACAATGATAAAGAGGCTATGCAGATATGTGATGCCAAGGCAATGGCACATGAAAATCCACATGACAATCAGATGCTAAGAACGGTAAGAATCCAAGGATGACTATGGCCTCAGGAAGCACCTATAGGTGTCAGAAAACAGTGACGAGTGTATCTCATGGAAAGCTATGAATCACAGGCTAAGGAGTTTGAATTCTTTTCAATGAATATGGCAAGCGTAACATTGT